ACAGGCAACTGAATAGCTTTCTGGATCATCTGAGAAAGAGTTTTAAGTTGTGAGTTTAAATCAAAGCTTCGCTGAGTGACAGTGCCTCACACCTGTAATCCTAGCTACTCAGGAAGCTGAGATCTGAGGATAGCAGTTTGAAGCCAGCCTGGGCAGGAAAGTCCACCAGAAAAAACAGAAGTGGAACTGTGGCTCAAAGTGATAGAGCGTTAAAGCCTTGAGCAAAAAAAGCTCAGGAACAGTGTCCGGGCCCTGAGGTCAAGCCCCACAACCAACAAAAAATAAAATTTAAAAAACCCAAATCAATCAAAGCCACATATTCAGACTTTCTAAAAGTCTTTTCACTAAAAAGATTCTATGTAAAGGATCTCACAGGTGAAAAGCAGCTTTGTCGTATTGGAGAAGATGAGGGTGGAGATCAGAATACACCTCTGCCACTTGTCTTCCCTCTCCCACCTCAGCCAGCATCTCTATCCTGTGCAGAACAGCTGGAGGAATTTGCTGTAAAGTTCACCCTGACAGTGCCCAACCTCCACCCTAGAGTCCTTCCCACACAAGTGTCTGCCCCTAATGCTTGTGGTTTCCTTCAGGCCTAATACAGCAGAGAAGAGGTGTGATGAAATCCATTTCCCCTTCAACATCTTTAATCTGGAATCCTAATCCTGGCTCTACTCTTTATCATTGATGACCCTGACAAGTAGCATGGCCTCTATACCCTAGTTGACTCCAGTCAAAGGACAGTATTGGCATCACCTTTCAGTACTGTGGGAGGAGTGAGTACATATACTTGGGAAAATCACTTAGAATCAGGTCTGGCAAATAGTTAAGTCATTGTTGTTATGACTTTACCTTGGGTTCTAAGTACTCTGGTGTCAAAGAAATTTTAGGTATCGCCAAGAGAATAACAGCATTTGGAAGTTTTCATGGTCCCTAGAATCAAACCCAGATCTATCTATTAACACCTTAAAGAATATTTGAATATTGTCTTTTTCATGTTCCTGTTCTTCCAGATAGTCTCCTAAAAACATCAGCCAAGAAGTAACATGGCTGGGGCAGCCTTGTCATCTGAGGAAAGCAGATCATGCGTCCTGCTCTTTCTGACTTCTGCCTCTTCCTGTATGGGACCACAGCTCCCTCTGCCTACTCCAGGACAGAACACTAGCCTCTTTTCTTATGACCATGAGGCTGGAGTGGTGAGTACAAATGCACTCACATTATCAAATCCTTTTTAAAAATGGCCCTAAAGTGGTCAGCATTAACAGTGCTGAGTACTGATGAGGCTAGAGGATGACTTTAGACTATCAAGGTAGGTTCAGCAATATGAAATGCTGGTCCAAGAACAGTGGCAAAACTGGAGAAATAAGAATGTCATGTTTTCAGAAATCTGAAATTATTCAAATTTTAAATGTGAGACCATGCAGTTTCTTCTTGTGTATATGGATGTCAAAATGTTCTTCTTTTGACAATGTTATTGATAGAAGCTGGGATTTGAAATGAGGCCTTTTGAATACTTTCCCTGATTTCTATTATACTATTTTAATTACTTTAAAATACTTTAAAATAATTTAAATTTTAAATTCAATTTTAAAATAAAAATCTTATTTAAAAAATTGAGACAGGGGGGCTGGGAAGGTAGCTCAGCGGTAGAGTGCATGCCTTGCAAGCATGAGGCCCTGGGTTCCATTCCTCAGCACCACATAAACAGAAAAAGCCGGAAGTGGCTCTGTGGCTCCAGTGGTAGAGTGCTAGCCTTGAGCTGAAGAGCTGAGGGACAGCGTTCAGACCCAGAGTTCAGACTCCATGACCGGCAAAAAAAAAAAAAAAAAATTGAGACAGGGCCTTACTATATTGTCCCGGCTGGAACCATCCTCCTACTAACCTCCAGAATATGAGATTACAATGGCACACACCAAACCTAGTCAAAATAATTGTGAAAAAATTAAATATCCAAAAATACACATTCTTTAGTAAGAAAACAACACAAGCTCACACTTCATGGTATCCTCACATGCTGACAATGAAGTGGGTTGGGCAGAATTGAGGTTTCTGACCCAGCTCTTCTTTTTTATTTATTTAATTAATTTTTATTGTGAGAATACCGTATAGAGGAGTTACAATTACATGGGCAAGATAACAAGTACATTTCTTATCAAGCATTGTTGCCTCCTCTTTGTTTCTCCTTCCTACCCCTTCCCATACTCCCCTCCTCCCCCCTCTCGGTCCTCCCCCCTCCCACCAAAGTTGTAAAGTTCGTTTTCAACATAACGACTTGTACATCTCATTGTTGCAATGGGTCCACCTGTATCCCTAGTTAAACGATTTGTTTTTTCATTCCAGCTCTTCTTTACAGAAGGAAAAAGAAACCTATTCTACATCTCCAAGTGTAGCATTTAAGGGAGCATGTCTCCCTCTGCTGCCAACAAATGGTACTGGGAGGACTCCAAATGCTAAGATGCTACAGCAAGAAGTGGAGTTTTGCCAGATGCTGGTAGCTCATGCTTGTCATCTACTCAGGAGGCTGAGATATGAGGATCATGGTTCAAAGCCAGCTGGGCAAGGTCAAGTCCCAGGACCAACACACACACACACACACACAGTTTCAAAATCACACACACACACACACACACACACACACACACACACACACACACACACGGAGTTTCAAAATCTACTGCCCATCATAGAAAACAGTTTTAGCAAGAATTCAAGAAAGATTAAAGAACTTGTTGCATCAGGAAACTATAGAAATGCTGATTTCTAAACCTTGCTAACTAAAGATAGTTTTTAAGGGGCTATATAAAAGAGTATCCCTTTTTCTTCTTCTGTCAGTTGTAGGGCTTAAGCTGAGGGCTTAGTCACTGTCACCTGAGCATAAGCTCAAGGCTAGTGCTCTACCACTTTGGGCCATAGATACACTTCTGGTTTTCTGGTGGTTAATTGGAGTCTCACAGACTTTCTTACCCAGTTTGAATTTGAACTGCAATCCTCAGATCTCAGCCTTCTGAGTAGCTAGGATTACAGGTGTGAGACACTAGTACCTCACTATTATCCATTTTATAAATGGTTTATTCTATGTAGTTATGTAAGACCATATGGTAAAATAATCATAAAATTATGCCTATCAGTAAATAGGTTTGACTTATTTGGTTCCATTGCCAAACGTCTTTGAAACTCAAATTAGTACATTGTAGCTGCCTACTCATTTTCAGTTAAAATCAGGAAAGTCTGACTTATTTGCCCTTTTGTAGGACAAAGATTAAGAGCTTATGCTAATAAGCACACTCATAGTCAGTATTAGCATCTGTGTATAGAGGACTAACAATTAACTAGGACTTCATGGTACTTTAAAATGCTTTGATTGCCAGGATAGGGCAATTCACCATCATCTAGATCAGTGCTGTCCAATATAACTTTCTGCAGTGCTGGGAATGTGTTGTTCAATAAAATTAGCTGTAGTAGCTATGAAGCTCTTGAGTGGAGGAAAACTGGATGTTTTATCTAAATAGCTCTTCATGGAGACAACTGATTTGGACGGTGCAGTTTTAGAACCTACTGTCTGGAATCTTTAAGCTGTCTGTCCTCTCTTCCACTGGTGATATAATTTTACTCTCAAGGTTTATAAACCCATCTTCTGATCCTGACCCTGGTTTTCCTACATGTTCATCTGATAACTTCCCCAATGGCTGGTGCTAGAAACAGCACTCATATAAAACCCAACATCTAAGACAGCCACACTAGACTTAGTGAGCCAAGCATCAAATGGCAACTGAAATACTCATTGTCTCTCAGCCTCAGTCAGCATGATCTGGAGAGTTCAAGAGGTCTCAAACCAACCATGGGACACCTGGCAAAAGAATGTGAGTGATGTGGCATCTGCCACTTGCCAATTCTCCCATGGAGACACCCCAGCCAAGTGCTCCCCTCCTGCAGGTCCCTCAGGCACTAACTGTAGCAGGTGCTTAAATGTTTTGTTGTTGTTTTTTGCTGAGAAACACAGATTTCTTACTTGAGCCAATAAATTAACCAAAAGTGAGGTAAAGGGTAGGCCTCCCAGACTCCTCCATTGTGTATGTTAGGAAACTGAGTCATGAATGTTAGGAAAGACCAAGCAGACAAAAGTAGAGAAAGAAGGCAGAGACCTCAGCAGACCAGAACAGGCTCAAACCATAGCTACAGTAACATGTAACATGTAACACGGAGAAGTAGGGTCAGGGAGACCAGGGAAGGGGGAGCGGGGAGGATGTTAGGGATTTATGGTAAGGGTATCCTCTGGACACCAGCAGTCCTGTACTTTTAGGTAAGGTCGGGGGTGACGTTTTCCTGAGAGCCAGGAGGGGCCGCGGGGGGGGGGGGGGGGTCCGTGGGCTGTGGGAGAAGCATGGAGTTATGAGAGCAAAGCAGACAACCCGCCACTGAACCTATGTCCTTTGTCCCGAGCCATTCTTCCCTGCAAGTCATTCTGGAACCCAGGAAAGGCCAGACCATGACTGTGGACATAGCCAATCCCACCTGCTACCTCTGAGCACGACGTTATAACCATGCGTATCTTCACTCTGCCTCTCCCTCAACCCCAGCGCGGCTGGCGCGGGGCCGACGCGCTGCTACTCGCACGGACGAGCCCCGTCGCCGCCCCTGCCCGCACTGGCACACAGGGGTGCGTGGCTGGACGGACTCGCCGGGCCTGGGCCTAAAATCGCCTGCTCCCTAACGACGCCCTGGCAGCACACTTCCCAGAGCAGCTTCCCACTGGAAGTCTCCCCAACCAAGCCTCCAGCCCCTACGGCCTCCAAGCAGGCTCCCCAGTACCCTCAAACACCCGCCTGCCACCCTCGGCCCGGGCGCCAACGCGCGAGGGCTCCGACAAGATGGCGGCGCGGGCCGCCGCAGCCAACCATAGAGACACGCGCCTGTCGCGTAGAGAGGGCGCAAGCCTCTTTGCACCCGCCCCTTCCGGAGGAAGTGGGGAGGAGCGTTCCCCTCCCTCCCTCCCTCCTGCGAAGTCTCTCTAGGAGAACAGCGTGCCGTCTCTATGGTGCCGGGTCATCCGAGCCAGGCTCCGTAGTTGGTGAAAGCAGTGGCGGAGGCGGAGGGAGGAGAAATGGGCGGGAGGCCCGGGAATAGCTGGAGGCCCAGCGGCCAAGGGGTTGTCATGGAGCCGTGAGGCCGGGCTCGCGCATGCGCCAGCGGACCTGCGGGGCTGGTGGAGAAGCCCGCGACCCTGGCCCTAGGTGAGAAAGTGAGGGCTTGGCCGGGGAGCGGGGCGGTGGAGGGAGCGAGGACGGCGCGGCCCGAAGGGTCCAGGCGGGGAGCGCGAGGAAGCCAGGCGGGAGTGGGGACGGGAGGAAGAGGGGCGAGGGAGGCGGGAGGGGGAGCCAGGACTTTGGGGGGGCTACGAGCTTTTGGGGGAGCAGGGAGACAGACAGAGCGCGCAGAGGGCCCGTCTGCCCACGTTGGTGGGTCTGCAGCCAGGGGCTGGCCAGGGGCGGAGGGGCTGGTGTGGGGAGCAAGTTTGGAGAGAGTGGGTTAGGGCAGGTGGGCTCTGGGCCGGCCATGGGGGAGACCGGGACCTGGGAGGCGACCGCGGGACCGAAGCTGGAGGCCTGCCGGGCTGTGAGTGGAGGGCCCGTGATGGGCCGGGAGCCAGCACGGAGCCACTCACCCGGGAGCTGCCTGGATCTCCCCTAAGGAGCTCCTTATCTGGGCCTGGGGTACAGGTGTGCTGCCTTTTCCACAGACCTACCATTCCCTCCCTCCCCCCTTGCTGATTATATCTCCCGAGTGGCCAACTCGTCAGAAATAGGGGTGTGGGAGAAGGCGGACAGTGGAGTTAGTAGTTAGGGGTGGTTTGGGGGGGGGGGGGTAGTTGTGATCTCGGCCCAGGCCAGAGCCAGGTGCCCTGTTATTGCCCAAGTCCTGGCAGTGTCCACATTGCCTGGCGTTTGCCTTGGAGACTTGTGGTATGCCAGTCAGAGCACAGCCCAGTTCTGTCCTGCTGAGCTGGCAGGCTGCTGGATGCCTGGAGGGTGTACATGCTGTCTGGTACAGATGCCATGTGGGCTGGTGCAAGTGGCTAGGTGGGCACTGTTACTGTGAACTCTTTTTGCAAAGAAACTTTAATCCTCTTGCCCTTTGAAAGGCAAGGATAGAGATTTGAAACCCTACTTGGTTTCAAATGTAGGAAATTGTATGAATCCCAAGGCTCAGGATCTTTGACACTAATTTTCAACCAAGTTAGAGAATGATAATGTATATAAATGTATGCATGTATATGAATATTGGTGGTATTTTTTTACATCATTAAAATACACAGACATTCCCCCCCCCCAAGAATGGTATCTGTGAAAAGACAGATCAAAAGGAAATAACTTCAAAGAAAACATAGTAAGATGTTTATAATTGTAAATGATTATTCATGGTTTTGTGACTAGTAAATTATTTTCTATGCCCTTATCACTTTATTGTATTTAAACCTCTGCTTGGTCTTTCTCCTCACACCTCTCTGTGCATGCATGTCATACACGTGACACATTTTAAAGGGAATGTGAGCTCTCAGGAATGTTGCCAAGTATCTATAAAAGGAGAGAGCTGCCAGCTGCATTTCAGATCCTTTCCTTGTAACCCTTTGGTCTCCTTTTTATCATGAACTCAGATCTCCAGAGATTATGGATTACACCAACCTTTAATTTGGCTGGTGGATTTGTCCCAGAAGTTTCATCTTAGAACAAAGGGTAGATTAGATATGTGTCTTGTATTCGACCTGACTAGATCTTGAGATGACTATCGTGTTTGGAAAGGCTAAGTCTTGATCTTCAAGGTGTTCAGGTATTTCTCTGACAGCTAAAGTGCTCTGGCAGTCAGACACTCAGCAAGACAGATTTGTTAGAATCTGTTATTTTCTTTGACATTGTCATTATTGGAGGCTGAGTTTCAAGGATGGAAAGAGGCCACCTGTGAGGTCAAGGAGATAAATAACTAAATGCTAATATAAGAAGTGCAAAAGATAGAAGTAAGCACAAGTGGTATGGAGTAATTGCTAGGATTTTATCTTTTTTTTTTTTTTGGTCGGTCCTGGGTCTTGAACTCTGGGCCTGGGTGCTGTCCCTCAGCTCTTCAGCTCAAGGCGCTCATTCTACCACTTGAGCCACAGCGCCACTTCTGGTTTTCTGGTGGTTAATTGGAGATGAGAGTTTCACCAGACTTTCCTGCCTGTGCTGGCTTTGAACCTCCCTCCTCAGATCTCAGCGTCCTGATAGCTAGGATTACAGGTGTGAGCCACTGTCACTGGGCTAGGATTTTATCTTATTCCTATTTCTGTAAGCCTGTTTTTATTGATTAGCTTTGAATTGTGAATTTTAGCATATCTGTCCTAGGTCCACTTTGGGTCATTTCTGACAGTTTGAGAGCTTAATGCAAAATAAGTAAGAGGCATAGGGTCTGAGATGTTTGTAAAGCAGTTAAGTAGTTCCAGGCTGGGCCAGGAAGCCAAGGTATGAGATGCTGAGAGGAATCTTTAATTCCTTCTCAGTTGAGAGCATCTAAACTTTACTATAAAATATGCTGATGGAGAAGAAAAGCTAGTGTTCTGAAGGTTTTCAGACTTTGCCATTGGTGTGGTCCTGGTGGCCAATGCTACCACTGCTTCTCGGCCCAGACTTCCTTGATGCTATGTAGCGTGGGTCCGTGTTAATTGCTCACGGACTCCCTCAGCCCACTCTCTGCCAGACAAGTGAGCTGGAGAGGGATGTAGCTCCTCATGTGCCCTGCCACATGAGCCTCCTTGGCTGGGACACTAAGGCTTTCTGCTATAAAAAGAGAACTTCATCGAGAACAGCCTTTTATATTTTTCATACCCAAAATAGTCGATTTACCATTCTAAAGTCAATTATGTGTTCTTTATTTCCACCTGCAGCCAGCTCCCCAGGATCTAAAATGTTAGCATCTACTTTCCTCTTTTTTTTTTTTTTAATTGTAAAGATACTATACAGAGGGTTACAGTTACATGAGTAAGGTAATGAGTACATTTCCTATTGAGCATTGTTACCCCCTCCATTGTTTTCCCCCTACCATCCCTTCCCTCCCTACCTTCCCCGAGGTTCTTTTTTTTTTTTTTTGATTATGATTAAGCTACTTTCCTCTTAACTGATTTGTCAGTGTTTCAATATTTTGATTCCATTAGCAATACTGCCTTGTAAATTCTTGGTGAAACAGAATAAATTCCTGTGTATTTTTCTGTAGCTTCATTGTGTACATTTTAATAACATACCAAGATGTTTCTCATTGTCTTGTTATAAAGATTATAAAAGGCAAAATCAGATGTTTTATCTAAAATATCTATAAAGTAACCCATGCCTGGTAAGATACTGTGAAACCTCCTTAGGTTCTTAACTATTTACAGCCAACGTGAGCTGCCTCTCTTAATCTGGATCACCAGGCTGGTTAGACCTGGTCTAGTCTGAATCCACGAGTCACTTGTGCTTCCATGTTGAAGAAGGCTCCTATTCACATTTGAAATTATTATTTTAGGAAAGTAACACTATGCACATTTGCTGGGTTTCATACAAAAGGATCTTGATTTAATTAGAGATACAGTTTTACATTTTAGTCTGCTTTTTAAACTGGGTTGTCCATGGTATAAAACATCATAGCTGTCAAATAGAACTGCTTTTGCAGAGTGCTCTGTAAGATGTGACAGTGTGCCAGGTGCCAGAGGCTCACATCTGTAACCCTAGTTACTCAGGAGGCTGAGAACTGAGGATTGTGATTCACAGCCAGCTTGGGCAGGAAAGTCTGTGGGAGTCTTATCTCCAGTTAACCACCAGAAAATCAGAAGTGGCTTTGTGGTCTGCCTTGAGTGAAAAAGCTCAGGAACAATGACCAGCCCCTGAGTTTAAGTCCCACAACCAAAAAAGGAAGAAAAAAAAACAAAAACAGTGCCATTGGGGCTGGGAAGGTGGCTCAGTGGTAGAGCACTTGCCTTGCATGCTCGAGGCCCTGGGCTCGATTCCTCAGCACCACATAAGAAAAAAGCCGGAAGTGGCGCTGTGGCTCAAGTGGTAGAGTGCTAGCCTTGAGCTGAAGAGCTGAGGGACAGCGCCCAGGCCCAGAGTTCAGGCCCCACGACTGGACCCAAAAAAACAACAACAACAACAAAAAAAAAAAAACAGTGCCATTGATTACATGTTATGCCCATAGGATTAAACATGTGACCTGTGGAAGAGTCCTTATTAGACGTGAATTGAAAGAGGAAGCCAGTCCCCTTAAATGATATGACAAAATCTTTTTTACTTGGAATTGTGTTTCATCTCATTCAGATTAGTTTATCTTTCCTTTAGTTCATCTATATACTGGAGTTTGAGCACAAGAACTGTCAAGGATGCTTCAGAGCATTCTTCTATTTAATTACATTGTGAATCCTTCCTCTTGTGTTCTTCACTAGGCCCTCCATTATCAGAAACATTCAGGCTTAGCACTTCAGGGCTTGCAGATGTAATGTTGGCTGGCTGCACATGTTTCTCTCAGGACAATAGGATGGAGTCATGAACAGATTGTGATTTTGAAACATTATTAGACTTTGCCTACACCTACCTACTTTCATCATCATCATCATCATTATTATTATTAATTTCCTTTTCTGCTACTCTAGTCTCTTTATCCCTGCAGTATCATCTGTGTTCTTAGCCTTACAGTTGCCATTTTTTGATGACTCAAATATTTGTTAAAACATCTGAAATGTCCTCAGCTTCTGCCAGTTCCGTTGTAGGGATAATTTGTCTCATTCTTGCACTGTTAGCCAGGGTCTAGATGTGTACCACTGAGGCAGATCTATCTGGGGTTTTCCTTGGACTCTGTCTTACATGTAGCATTCTACCCAGCATCTCCCCTTGGATGACCCACAGTCACTTCAGGTCTTACATGACCAAAATTGATCTAGTGGAGTCATACCATCTCACCCCACCCCCAGTTCTCTTCCATGCTGTTCTAGGCTCCCTAGCTTAGAAAATAGTGCCACGTCTACCTCCTACCCTCCAGATAACATCAGCTCAACCTCTTTTCCTTCTCCCCAGGCCACTAATGTAGCTCCCTGGGCTGCAGAGGTAGCATCTGAATAATCTTAGTGCCTCCTGCCTGTCTCCGCTTTCGTTGCGGGCCAGCATTCAAAATACTTCTTTAAACTCAGGGCCTGGGCACTGTAACCTTAGCTTTTTTTTTTTTTTTTTTTCTCATGGTAGCACTCTACCACTTGAGCCACAGCTCCACTTCTGGCTTTTTGGTGGTTAATTGGAAATAAGAGTCTCATGGACTTTCTTGCCTGGGCTGGCTTTGAACCTCGATCCTCAGATCTCAGCCTCCTGAGTAGCTAGGATTATAGTAAGCCACTGGTGCCCAACCCAAAATACTTTTAAGAGGTAGATCTGATCTTGTTAATCTTATAGTTTAAATTCTTCCCTGTTAGTGTCTGTTTTTTTTCCAACACAGATTCCAAGGCACCCCTGTCCCCACCGACCTCCAGTATCCGTGTGTGGCATTCTTCCTCTCTGCACTGGCCTCCCTGACCATTCAGCTCTTGGGTGTGCCAAGCTCCTCGCTCTCCTTAGAGCCTTCACATTGCCCGGAACACACCTGCACACCCCACCTGTTATCTTGTACCTGGCTAACTCCTACTGACTCCTCATCCTCCAGATCCCAGCCACATGGCACTTTTGCTCAGTTCTCTAGACTGTTAGTCTGGCCCCTTTAAAGCTCTAAATAGTAATAAAATAGTCTTCAGTTGTGTGATTGCTTGGTTAATGTTTGCCTCTCTCTAGATCACAAGTTCGAGGAAAGATGAAAACATGTCTGCCCCCACTCCTAGCACAATGTCTAGCTTATAGCGAGCACACTTGATTTATAAGTTTAAACGACTGAATGTAACTTCTCTAGGGTATATAGTACTTGCACATAAAAATATGGGGTTTAGTTGTGGAGTTTTGTTGTGCTGGGGATATAACCTAGGATGTTAGGCATGGCAGACAAGTATTGTACCATTGAATTACACCTCCAAATCCATAAAGGTTTTTGCAGTTCAGAAAGTAGCATGCATATAGAGGAAGTTGGTTTTGCTCTGTTCAGTACTCATCTAAAGAACTGAGAGGTTTGTTTGAGAAACTACACTGTGGGAGGTGGCAATAGGTCATGAGCCCCAAGATGTACACTGAGAAAGCAAGCCTTGTTGGTTGATGTTACCTCTCCTCTGGGAGGAGGACAAGTTGATATGGTTACCCATTCCAGAAAGCCTAATCAAGTATGCCTTTGTTAGCAGTTCACAAAGCTTCCACTGAATGTGGTTTGTGTGTCTTGAATTTGTAATGGAGTTAGAGGGCAGCAAGAAGACTATGAATCCCCTTTCAGATAGAAACCATTCTCTTTCGTAAACTCCTAGCTTTTGTCAGTGAGACAGATGAGAAAATATAGCTGAAGTGGGCGAGGCCAGTGCTCTTTGCCCTCACCTTATGCACCATTTGGATCACCTGTTTCAGCTCTCCCGGCAATGACTTCTTATGTAACTGTTGTTTTTCATAGGGCAACCAGATGAAAAGACTATCAGTGAACGTGCTTCCAGTCCAGTAAAACATGGAGAGGAAAATCCCGTCCAGAGAGAGCCCCAGAAGACTCTCAGCCAAGTTAGCCAGGGGCACAGAAATGAAAAAAGTGTCTCGGCAGGTCGGCACGGTAGCTGCCGAGTCAGATAAGGATTCTGGATTTTCAGGTCAATAACACCTTATCCTTTCTATGTTGTAATGAATGATCTGCTTGAAAAATTTCCTCCCTAAAACTCGTGTGTGTGATAAGGATGGGGAGCTTTCACACTCGGGATAAATAGCTATCTGATCTTTTAACATAAATGGTAATTCTGATGACATGTGGCAGAGTGGGTGTCCATCATAATCTTTGAGGGGTTCTTAGTTTTGAAAGAATAATTTGACATCTTTTTTCAATTTAGACTCTCAACTTCTCCTTTCTTTCTCTCTCTCTCTCTTTCTTTCTTTTCTTTGCTTTGCTTTGCTTTGCTTTTCTTTCCTTTTCTTTTTCTTGCCTGTCCTGGGGCTTGAACTCAGAGCCTGGGCATTGTCCCTGAGCTTCTTTAGCTCAAGGCTAGCACTCTACCACTTGAGCCACAGCACCACTTCTGGTGTTTACTGTTTATGTGGCACTGAGGAATTGAACCCAGGGCTTCCTGCTGCTAGACAAGCACTCTACTACTAAACTACATTCCCAGCCCTAGACTTTCAACTTTAAATCTTACATTTCCAACTGTTATCAGTAGCTACTGAGAAAAAACAAAACAAAAAAAACCCAAAAACCATAAACGGTCATGAGTCTATTGTGTTAGCTCCTTTTCCATAGGAATTGTTATATTGCAGAGGAAAATATAACTTGATATTGTCTTCATGTAACCATTTGAAGGCTGCTAGTTAAAAGTAATCAGTCATGTATTATAATGAGAGAATACATTCTGAGAAACTTGTCCTTAAATGATTCTTGTTTTTATAGAACACCTTTTACAGGTGGTGTAGCCATCTTCTCACGTGCAGTAGCCTCATTATGTGAACATAATGTCATGTGTTAAGGTAACTTGTTCTTTAAGAAGATAATTTTGCTGTACTCAAAAAGTCCCCTACCTGAACAGTTCTTCCCCCAATATCTGTGTATTTTATATTTGAGCACCTGGCCTGATTCTAAACTCTGTTAGAAGAAAATAAAGAAAATAGAACAGCTTTCTTTACTAATATATCTTCAGCCTTACCCAAACGGGCTAGCTGCATCCCACGTTATTCTTAATTTTATGATGAAACTTCTTTCGAGTTTGAGGTCTTGAGAAGTGGCTGGAACTATCCTAAAAAACTGAACTAGTTTTCAACATTTTTGGCTTAAGGCATGCATGGGGGAGATAATGCCAGGGGATTGGGCTCAGTGTCCTGAGAGTGGAACTGTCTCTAGGGGAAGATGTATATGCTCACAGAAATGAATCTATCAATTACATTAATTTATAGGTTGAAATGCACCTGATAGCAAAACTTCTCTAGATTGGTACATTTTCACCTGATAAGCACACGGAATGAGAAGCCAAATTATTAATAGACTGTTACTTAAAGAAGGACAGCACCAACCAAGGGCTTAGAGTAAGAAGAATTAGTTGTCTGCCTGGGGTCAGGGCAGTTGGGAAGGGTGAGCCAACCTCTAGCACTTGTCCCATAGCATTGTTTCCTGAGCTTGTCTCATTAGAAGGCTAACTCAACGCATTCGTTAAAAACATGGTCTCCCCCAATTCTCATTCTAAGAAACGGAGAGGGACTAGAATGAAGGACTTATGAAACAAGTGTCTTTTTTTCCTTTGTTTTTTGTATCGTGGGAGTAATATATGCTCATTGTAGAAGCTTAGAGATTTAGGCAAGTCAAAGAAGAAAACAGACTTTGTGCATAGTCCGTCCATCTATAATTCCTAGTGCTGTTGACCTTTTACCACATCTCCTTCCAACAGTTTTAGTGGTGTCAGGCCAATTGTTCTGTTCCAGAAGGTGGTCCCAGGCACTCCTGGGCCAGGTGCCACTGCGCTTATCACTGCCTGAATTATTCTAGGTACCTTGTATATGATGAAATTTGTAAAACTATGATAATGTCTGCTGTTTTATTTTCCCAACTTCATATACTGAGTAATCTCATATCTATACAGAAGTGAGTGAGTATCCCACATGAAAGATGTTTTGTTTCAGATCACTGAGTATTATTTTGCCTTATATTTTTGATCTGTTTATCGTCTGTCTGTCTCTGTCTCTCTCCCTCACATACACACACATTGTCAGTCGTGGGGCTTGCACCTAGGGCCTGGGCACTGTCTCTGAGCTCTTTGTGCTCAAGACTAGCGCTCTACCACTTTGAGCCACACGTCTACTTGTGGTTTTCAGGTTAATTGGCAACAAAGAGTCTCACAGACTTTCCTGCCCAGGCTGGCTTTGAACTGATTCTTAGATCTCAGCCTCCTGAGTAGCTAGGATTATAGTTGTGAGCCACAGATGCCCCAATTTGCTTTTTTTTTTTTTAAAGAGTATCTTACTGAGCAGCCAAAAGTGGCCTTAAACTTGTGATTCTCCAGTCACAGCCTCTCAAGTGCTGAGATTACAGGCATGTACCCCATCATATCTGGCTCTCTTCTCTGAGATTCTTGCTGAGCATTTTGTCCCAGACTCTTCAATATCAAGATACAGCAGTCTTTTGGTTACTCCAGCAGGTATCTAACCACAACCTTTTGGCATGGAGTTTACATAGGGTGCCCTTATTTGCTTTGATTTGGAGAACATCTTGTAACTGGTTGTGTAGGATCTCCACTAGGCATATTCACATGCTCAACAAATGAGCTGCTGAACAGCACAAAGAGAGAGAGAAAAAAGAAAAACTTCAGCTTCGACAAATTTGCCAGGATTGTACAATATTAAAAATTCAGGAGGATGCTATTTTTATTAGCATATATTAGCTATTTAAGGGAGGATTTTTACTGTGGCATTTCCACACATATATTCCAGTCAGTCCTCCCCCATTGCTCTCCTTTCACCTCCTCCCCCTTTCCTAATGCAGTGGCGGCAGGTTTATTGTTCAGTTTTCACACTTAGTGACGGATCTGTTTTGACCATATTTATCTTCTTCACCATTGTTAGCCCCTCATCCCAATAGATCCTATTTCTCTTTGCCCTCCTTTCCAACCCACTATTGATCAACAACTTGCATTGAAGCTCTTTCTGCTGTTTTCTTTTTTCGTTTTTGTGTGGGTCCATGGGGCTTAAACTCAAAGCCTCAACTCTATCCCTGAGCTTCTATTGCTCCAGGCTAGTGCTTTACCACGTAAGCCACTGTTCTACTTCTAGCTTTTTCTGAGTAGTTTATTGGAGATAAGAGTCTCACAGACTTTCCTGCCTGAGCTGGCTTCGTACTGTGATCCTCAGGTCTCAGCCTCCTGGAGTAGCTAGGATTACAGGCGAGAGATACCAGCACCTGGCTTCTGCTGTTTTCATTCATAGTTACTGTGTATTTCAAAGCCCCTCACCCTCTTTCTTTTTCCCTTTCTCCTCTCCCTTCTCCTCCTAAGTAGTCCCTTAGACTCTTGTTTTATATCTATCTGAATAAATTATTATGTATGTATACAAGTATGTGTATGTATGTTCACTTTGATGCTATTTTAACTTCAGCATGGTTGAAAGTTTTGACATTTGCAGGCTGGTTTTATTTTTGTTATTCTAATTATATCTGTGTCCATAGCCTCTAAAGGTCTTAATCCTGTCTGGGGTCCCACGCTCTCTTTCCTTCTCAGCAATAGATTCTTGAAAGTAATGAGCTCACTTTAAAGCCTTCAACTTGTTTCTCTTACAGACTGGTGATGATTACTTTGACATGAACCCTGACTGATACAGGTTTTTGTCTGTAAGAGATTTATAAAGGAAGTCAAGCTGAGAAGAGAGGCTTAATCTTTTAGAGTGGGGGGGGGGGGGGGGATTATGGATCCCGTTGAAAATCCAAAGAAAGTTAAACACCTCAGAACATTCACAAAAACACATATCGCCGAAGTTCTTTTCTATTTCAAGGGGTCCATGGTTCTTTTTTTTTTTTTTTTTTTTTTTGTCGGTCGTGGGGCTTGAACTCTGGGCCTGAGCGCTGTCCCTCAGCTCTTCAGCTCAAGGCGAGCGCTCTACCACTTGAGCTACAGCGCCACTTCCGGTTTTCTGGTGGTTTATTGGAGATAGGAGTCTCATGGTCTCTCCTGCCCGGGCTGGCTTTGAACCGCGATCCTCAGATCTCAGCCTCCTGAGTAGCTAGGATTACAGGCGTGAGCCACCAGCGCCCGGCTAGGGTCCATGGTTCTTTAGGAGCTGAATTAAGAGTCCTTAGCGTATAGCCCAAGTAAACTGACCATTCTTTTGCCCACCAGATGGGAGCTCAGAATGTCTGAGCTCTGCAGAGCAGATGGAGTCGGAGGACATGCTGAGCGCCTTGGGCTGGGGCAGAGAAGACAGGATGAGGCAGAGCTCCAGTGCTGCAAACAGCGCCTTCCCTACGCTGTCACCCATGGTTGTCATGAAGAATGTGCTGGTCAAGCAGGTGAGGAGGACCAGTGTGGCCCAAAGTCTCTGCAGACTAAAGTTTCTGAGTTTCTGTATACAAACTCTTCTGTGCTGCCAAGGAGAGATTTCAAAGCAGACAGGAGAAACACACTGATGTGTACTTTCTGTCCTGGGGAAAGGGTGTTAACCATTCAACTACAGAGTAGTAAGAGATCTGCCTACATGTGGCTCAGTGGTAGAGTACTTTCCTAGCATGTTCATGGGCCTGAGATCAGTCCCCTTAACTACCACCACCACCACCACCACCACACCACCCAAAAGAATGGTGGTGGTATGGGAGACTAAACTCAGGGCCTAGTACTTTTCTACGGAGCTAAATCCCCAAGCCTACATTCTCATTTTTGAGACACCATTTTATTTTTATATTTATATAAAATTATCTTCATATAATTTGTTCAAGGGAGCCCTAAAATCTTTAATTATATATAAACAGAACCAAACCACAAACTTTATTTTGTGTGTGTGTCCATTGTGGCACTTGAACTCAGAGCCTGGGCACTGTCTCTGAACTTTTGTTCTCAAGGCTAGTGCTCTACCACTTTGAGCCATAACTCCACTTATGATTTTCTGACTCTTATGGACTTTCCAGCCCAGGCTGGCTTCAAACCACAGTCCTCAGATATCAGACTCCAGAGTAGCTAGCATTACAGTCATGAGCCACCAATGTCCAGCAAAAGAACTTCTTGTTTAATTTGAATTTGGCTCAAAATGGTAGATATCTAGCCTTGAGCAAAAGAGTTCAGGGACAGCCTCCAGGCCCCAAGTTCAAGTCTCAAGACTGAGAAAAAAAAAAAATCCAGGGGCTGGTAATGTGGCCTAGTGGTAGAGTGCTTGCTGCATGAGGCCCTGGGTTCCATTCCTCAGTACCACAGAAAAAGCGAGAAGTGGTGCTGTGGCTCAAGTGGTAGAGTGCTAGCCTTGAACAAAGGAAGCTCAGGGACAGTGCCTAGGCTCTGAGTTCAAACTGCAGGAAGGACTGGCAAAAAAAATAAAATTAAATTAAAAAAATTGTATGTGTGAATAATATATACATACATGTATATATACATATATATGTATACATATTATATATATATACATATCCAGTGTTTGAAATTGAGAATTCAGTTATATGAATTTGATAGAGTTGAAGTAAAGAAATCAAGAGGAATGAAATTGACTTTACATTTAAGTGTGTGCCACTTTACTCTGAAAATATAGCCCAGGTCTTGCATGGTATGTTGACAAGGCTACTTAAAGATTGTGAAATTAGAGGTCTAGCTTAATTGTCAACCCTCCCATCTTAGGTCAGACATTAGCAGAGTATGACTGTGGTATGACAAGAAACCTAGTGCCTTAAATATTAAGATTATTTGGGAAGAATGCAACTCATTTTTTTTTTCCTTTTTGGTGCCAGTCCTGGGACTTGAACTCAGGGCTGGGTGCTGTCCCTTTGCTCAAAACTAGCACTTTACTACTTGAGCCACAGCTCCACTTCTAGCTTTTTTGGGACGTTAGTGGAGGTAAGAGTCTCATAGGCTTTCCTGCTAGGTTAGCTTGGAACTGCAATCCTCATATCTCAGCCTCCAAATTAGCTAGGATTATAGGTGTGAGCCACCAACTCCTGGCTACAAAGTGATTTTGAACAAGGTACCTTAGTGAGTTCCAGAAAAAGAATTAGAAGGTTTTACTTGGTAAATCATATCCTCTTTGAAGGAAAGGAGAGTAAAGAGATGGGAAGTGGATCCCAAATCAGTTTGTCCTGCTGCCCCATGCCTCTGGGGATCTCTGTTCCTTGTGTTTCTTCCTCCCTCTCCTCTGACCCTCTTCTTACTCTTTCTCCTTGTGTCCCTGTGTTGATAGCTGTTCTGTGGCAGGCGGGCTGACAGCTTCAGGAGGTGCAAGAGGCCCTCACTCAAGAGTGAGGAGGCTTTTCTCACAGAGGCTCTTCTATAGACAGAAACAGGCTGGCCAGGAGATAGGCCTGAATGACAAGTGGCGCCCCAGAATTTATTTTACTTTCATTTTTATTGTTTTTTATTAGCCTAAATTAATTGTTCAAAGGGATTTCATTGTAACATTGCATATATCCATATAATGTGCTTTGATCACATTCACCAAGCCTATATTCTTTGTGTGTGTGTGTGTGTGTGTGCATGTGCGCACGCACGCATGTGTTATTGGGGTTTGAACTAGGCAGGTACTCTACTACCTGACCTACACTACCAGCTCCATGTTACTTTTTGTAATCCCCCCTCCGTCATTCCTCTTTTAATACTTTTTAGCATTTATATATGTGTGTGTGTGTCTTTCTGTCTCTGTGTATATATGTATATATAGAAAATATATATGATATATGTGTATTTATATATATTCTACATATGTACATGTACCCATATATTTATACATATATCCATATATATGTATATCCATATATATACATATACATATATGTCCATAAGACATATGGATATATGTCTTAAGTACTGCCATCATTTTTATACCCCCACCAACCTCTTCCTCTTTCCACTCCCACTGGTTTCTCCCCGCCCCCAAGCTCCCCTTTTACAATCATGTTGTCATCATCATCATTATCATCATCATTATTTTCTAAATATGAGCAAAAACATTCTGAGTTTGACTTGTCTTGCTCAACATGATAATCTCCAGGTCCCTCCGTTTTCCTGCAGACTTAATTTCATTCTTCTTTATTGCTGAATAATACTCCATTATGTATATTCCCTGCATTTTTGTTTTATCCATTCATCAGATGTTGTATACCTGGACTGATTCAATAGCTTGGCTGTTGTAAGTAGTGCCACCATGGGCATTGGTATGCAGATATCTAGGTTTTTTTTCTTCAACATTGTAGAATGTACTCTGCTCTAAAATTAAAATAATGGACTTAACTTTTCCATATCATGTAATGTCTTGATCATTACTGCTTAATTTTAGGAATTTTTCTTTTGAAGATTTGATTCCAGCTCTGCCATTGGACAGTATTATTTTGTACACAGTCACTTAGCCACCATGAGCTTTGTTTATTCATCTTGACCATGAGGCTTTCTATGAAATGATTCTCAGGTTCCGTTCAGCTCTAATATTTTGTTCTGTATTCCCTCGGATGATTTTAACTAGAATAATTCAATTTGTAAACTCTAACAATTAGAACAAATTAACAACAGCATCAAGAGGAATGATCCAGTAAAGTCTTCTTGAGAAAGAAGATTACAAATTGCTTTAGATAGTTGGGGGAATAGCCTGAAGTTTTGCTTCTGAGCTGACCTTGGGTGATCTCTACATTAAAAGATCTCTGATTTTGGATATCCTCTGAGAGCCAGAGAAAAATGTTGAAACCCACAGAGAAAGGTTGCTTCTGAGCCTTCATTGCTTTATTTTTATATGCCAGCCATATTTGAATGCCAAGAGGGCTCCAGAACGGGCTTTCTACATCATGCTGATGTTTGCACAGGAAAGGAGTTATATTTGGTCCAATTCCCAACCCAGTATCTAAGAAGCCAAAACCTGCGCAAAACAGTGTGCATGTGCACGTGTGGGAAAAGAGCACATAAGGAACTTGAGCCAAGTCACACACCCACACATCACCAGCAAGGATGAGGATCTGTCAGGCTCACTCTCTGCCTACTTTCATCTACATTTCAGTCTTTGAGACTGGGTTGGAGTTGGACTGGCTTTCAAATATTGGAGACATATAACCATGTTCTGTTAATTTCATCTGAATCAGTACTTCAAAAATAAAGTGTATATTTTCAGAGAGAAACAATGAAGGCAGTATAGTCTTTTGTTAAGAAGAGTTTTAGAGAGCTGGGTGTGGTGGTGCATGCCTGTAATTCTAGCACTTAGGACAACTGAGGTAGGAGGATCAGGAGTTTCTTTTGAGATCCTGTTTCAAAACAACAACAAAACCAATACTGGGTACCCATATCTTATGCCTGTAATTGTAACTGAGATCAGAAGATGACAGTTTTAAAAATAGCCCAGACAGACAAGTCTGTGAGACTTTTATCTCCAGCCAAAAGTCAAAACCAGAAGTATAGCTCAAGTGGTACAACACCACCCCTAAAGGGGGTAAGCATTTTACACCATGTCAGCTAAAAGTATCACTAACACATGGCAGCCATTTCTCTTTTAAATAGTTTGATGTTTATTGGGTTTCTCTGCCTCAAAAATGGGCCCACAGGCTTCTGCTAAGATATAAATTTTGAGTAAAAGTTTTCAATGCTAGGGACATGGCTCAAGTAGTAGAGTACCTGCTTAGCGATTATAAGGCTCTAAATTCAAACCCCAGTACCCTCAAAAACAAGAAAACATAACCTTAAGTTTAGCACCTTTTACTAGTAAGTTGTACTGTCCACATTTTTATTGTCTCAACTGTGCCCTCAACTATGTCATTACTTCACCTGCCCAGAGTTTCTTTTTCTGAGTGATAGCATTTGAATAAAAATAGCTATTTCCTCAAGTTTTCCTTAGGGAAAGTTAGGACAAGAAAAGTGGCATTAGATATAAGTGGGTTTTGGAACTCCATCCTCTATGAACCTCCCCTTCAGGTGAGGGAAGCACAGAACGTGAGACATCTCTGTCTTCAAGTAGCTGTTTGCTTTGCCTTTGCCGCACCCTCCATCCTCAGTGAGAAGCTGCTCTCTCCTTTGTTTGCAGGGCAGCAGCTCTTCCCAGCTCCAGTCTTGGACTGTCCAACCCTCCTTCGAAGTGATCTCGGCACAGCCACAGGTCTTCGTCCTTCATCCACCTGTGCCATCGCCTGTCAGCCCCCGTCACGCAAACGAGAGAAAGGCAGACTCCAGAAACTATCTACCCATTCTGAATTCTTACGCCAAAATAGCCCCCCACCCAGGCAAAAGGAGCCTTTCCCTCAACTCAGAAGAAAGAGGAGCAAGTGGAATGCTGAAGAAAATCTGTACTGAGAGACCAGGGTCCAGCTTGCCTTCCAGGGAGCCAGGCAAAGCTGGCACTGGACTGTCTAATCCCTCCACTCCAGCACCCCCCAGCACCAAACTCGCCGAGGACTCAGCTCCGCAAGGTGTGCCCTCCCTGGTGGCAGGTGGCAGTCCACAGACTCTTCAGCCAGTGTCCAGCAGTCATGTGGCTAAAGCTCCCAGTCTGACCTTTGCATCCCCGGCCAGCCCCATCTGTGCTGCTGACAGTACTCTGCATGGCTTAGAGAGCAGCTCTCCCCTCTCCCCACTGTCAGCCAATTACAGCTCACCCTTGTGGGCTGCCGAGCACCTCTGCCGCAGCCCAGAGGTCTTCCCGGAGCAGCAGCAGAACAAACACAGGCGCTTTCACAACACCCTTGTAGTCCTGCACAAGTCTGGCCTCCTGGAGATCACTTTGAAAACGAAAGAATTGATTCGTCAGAATCAGGCAACTCAGGTGGAGCTAGACCAGCTGAAGGAACAAACCCAGCTTTTTCTAGAGGCCACCAAGAGCAGGGCTCCTCAGGCCTGGGCTAAGCTGCAGGCATCTCTAACATCTGGATCCAGTCATCTAGGCAGTGACCTAGATGCATTCTCCGATCACCCCGACATATAGCACAGGGGCTTATGTTCCTGTTATCTGAGTGGTTCTTTTCATTCTTGCTGTTACTCACACATGTTTCCCAAGTCGTACATTAGAGCATTTCCTTCTAAACTCACTCATGAAACTACATGCCAGCCCCTGGCTGATGTCTTAACCTGTAGTCCATGCGTGGGCCATGCATGTCTTTGTTCCACTGAGGATGTCTGGTTCCCAGTGTCCTTGAGTCTTTTCCTTAGCCGGCAGACACTTAGCTGCATCATAGGGCAAAGGAGGAGAGATGACTGGGGGGGGGGGGGGGGCATTTCTGGCTGGTACCTCCCACCATCCCACTCACTAACTGGATCAAGGGTACAGTAAGTAAAATGGATGAGCATGCTGGGCAGTGATGCAAGGTCCCTTCAGGGATCCTCCCTTGTATTGTCTCAGTCATAGACAAAAACAAGAGGAGGTGTGTTTGCATTCCACAGGACATTGCACCAGTTGGGCGAAGCCTAAATTGCTCTGGGCACAGGTACAAGCACTTAATTACATTTAACTTGGTTTTCTTCAACTTGAAGGTGGAGGATAGGAAGAGTAGTACCATCTGCCTCTTGCACTTGAATCACATACAGATTTCACTTTAGGGAGTAGGCAAAAGGCTTCAGACTTACAGTATGAGATTGATTCAGTGCCATCTGGAAATATAGTGGATGAACTGATCTTTGACTGAGAGACTGAAGATAGTAGCCATGACCAGCATTTTCCTGTCAGCAGCTGGGAGATTCTTGAGCTGTTTTATGTCTGAAAAACTCAAGGATAGCCTTAGTGGCTCCTGAGGGTCTGGTGTAGGTTACCTCTCTGCTGCCACCTTTTTGGCTTGCCCCCTTTTGTTTTCAGAAGAAAGAAATGGTTATGCTTGTAAACTTTGAATTGTACAAAATCACCCTCAGGTTATATAAGATCATCAAAATCGGAAAGCCTTCTTCTCACCCATTTCCTTTTTGTATCCTGTTTCTGTCTGTCCAATGTCATGGTGATGGGAGAAAGTTGTGGGATCATCTTGTGTCTCTTTCATGTGTTAGTGTTTTATTGGTTTCATGCCCAAGGGTATCATGTCGGTTCTCTGATGCTTGTCTCAAGATGGAGAATGAGGAGAATTTCCAGATGATACACACTCTTTTCTGCGTTATCTTATCAGCCATGAGATGCCTAAGTAGTAACCTCAAATATTTTATACCTTCTTTTAACATTTTCATCCCCTGGAGAACTTTGTTCATTATAAATTCCTTCGATAAATTTTCATGGCAGTCTGTAAGGAAAGTGCACTTGAGGTTTTGTGAAGTCAGAAGTTAATGATCCTATTTACTAGGTAACTGCAGCTCTAGAACATCATTTGGAATGCTGAGATTTCCCATACTGTGCTCACAGACACATGATGTAGATATGATGAGTTTAGAAAATAAATAACTGGGTAAACCTCTAGACCCTTGTGACTAGCAGAATCATCACCCTACCATTCGTTTGCTTCCGGAAAGACTTTCCAAAATCAGAGCAAGTATGTCTCTAACCAGACTTTTCTCTTGGCCCATTCTCTTTGCGTCCTCTGAGTCTGCATGGTACTGTAGCAGCTCTAGTCTGCCCCATGCTAGGAAGCTTCCTGTTTGGCAGAATGAGTTTGGCAGCAAAGCTATAGAGACAGGTGCATTCACAACAGCCTGGGCACCAGTCATGAGTCTTACTGAGTGTCAGAAATGTGAAAGCACTTGCCGAGAACCAAATGTATGCCTTTGGAAAAACCCTACGTGGAGCTCTGAGCCTTTGGACTCTTTCTCCTATGCTGGGCTTTGCATTTCCCTTCCTATCACTAAAAAAGATGAAAGCCACCATTGATGCTCACTGCTGAGTGGCAGGGAGGGGTAGCAGTACCCCCACTCCTCTCTCATCTCATACCTAAAGTTAGAGTCTCGGCTGTTAGCATGAATGTGTTCTTTCCTTAGCGGAGCTAGGCACAAATGAGCCCAGGTAGAGAAGCTAGGTCTTGGGAGAAGAGATCCATTGAGTCCAGAGGCCAGATCTGCAAATGGAGGAATACCGGGGTCCACCAGGAAGATCTCCATTGGTTGCACAACACTGTAAGTAGTAATGGCCCTAGCGGGTCCTGATAATATTTGGCATGAAGTACTGTGGCAAAGCTACTGTTTTCTGAAAGTGGGACACCAGTGTTAGCTGAGACCATCCCTGAAGAGACTCTTTGGCAGATTTTATTGGCATTACTGAAACATGTGTAAAAAGTTTGTGATTGAATTGGTTATGAGAATGGAGTTTGATGCTGTTTGTAATTTATTATACTCATTGCTTTTTATTGATTATAGTATTGTCTGACTTTTCTTCTCTACTATGATTCCTTTGACAAACAAATAACTCATGCATATATTGAAGTGATTTTCCAGCTCTGAGTTATTTAGGGGTAGAAATTTATTTAACAAATGTGAATTCTCTTGAGAAAGTATGAAGTTATATAGAAATTGACTGTGAAATATCAGAGAAAAATAAAAGTCACTTACTTGAAAACCATTTGGCCCTTTTGGTTTATAACTACTTAAAAAAATACTAAAGGAGGGCTGGCTATAGCTCAGCGATAGAGCTCTTGACTAGCATGTGTGAGGCTCTGGCTTCCAACTCCAGCGAAGTGAAAAAGTCCTAAGTGAAATCTAAATATTTAACTGGCTTTAAGGTTCCATGTAGTTCGGTGTCATTTGGGGACACTGAGATTGACACTGAGTATGAAGGAATTTACAATGAAGACTTTGAGGAAACAGGCAGTCTTAATGCGCAGTCCATTGTTCCCCAGAGTCTACGTTTACATCGCAGAGGGTGGAGAATAGTTCATCTGTTTCCTGAGTCTGATGGACATTCCACAACTAGAACTTTTAAATGACAAAACAGTTGTTTGGTGGGATAAACGCAAGCCCCATTAAGTGAGGGTCTTTATATAACAGAGGAGTCCTTAGCCAGTCTGTCTCAGAGACTTTCCCCAGGCTTCCTAAAAGTGTGTACCTTGCCAAGGTCCTTCTAGGGATGCGACAGGAAGATGTGGGGTCCTTTCTGCTTCTCAGGCCAGCAGTGTGGGGACTCTTCCTTGAGGTATTTAAAATGCTGGGAATAATACCTGGCGGGGAGATAGCATGATCACAAAGATGGTTTTCCGAGGGCCAGGCTTCTTCATTGCTGACCCCTGTGATTTCCCTAAATGTGGGAAACTGCATAATTTGTGGTAGTGGGGGACTGCATTTGCGCTCTCCCCTGGGGGTTGGGGGGAGAAAGGGGGAGAAAAAGAAAACAAAAGAAAGTGCTGGGAAAATATAAGCCAGGTACTGGTGGCTCACGATCTAATCTCAGCCAACCTGGCAGGAAGCTTTATGAGATTCTTATCTCCAATTTACCTCCAAAAAGCTGGAAGTGGAGCTGTAGCTCAAGTAGTAGAGCACTAACCTTGAACAAAAAGCTAGAGACAATGCTTAGGCTGAGTTCAAGTCCCAGGACACACACACACAAATGCTGGGAATATAAAAGGCTTAGCCTAATTAAAAGGCCTGGAGGGTTGTTACTGCCTGACCTATAGTAGTATTTCTATTCTATAAATAATTGTCTAAGTAACTTAAATATATAGCTATGTAGTTAATAAAATTGAATTAAAAGGGATGGATAGAAAAGGCTCCACCTGAAATAGAACCACCCTTCCTTTAGAAGCAGAATCCAGAGAAGGGAGAGAACACAGCAAAGTAGACCCTGTGAGCCACAGGAGAGCTCCAGGTATTTGAGCATGCAGCTCCTTGCCTGCCTCATGGTTATGGTTCATGTTAGGAAAACACTTGCCCATCCAGGACTGCTTGGGCAGGAAGCTAAGCCACATCTTTGATCCATCAACCTGGATGCATTGGGGTCTAAAGACCTAAATTTGCATGTCTTATCTTTTTTTGGGGGGTCTATTCTGTGGCTTGAACTGGACATTGTCCCTGAGCTTCTTTTTCTCAAGACTAGTGCTCTACCACTAGAGCCATAACTCCACTTCTAGCTCTTTTTTTTTTTTTTTGGTAATTTATTGGAGATAAAAGTCTCACAGACTTTCCTGCCACAGCTGCCTTCGAACTGCAGTCCTCAGATCTCAGCTTCCTGAGTAGCTAGGATTACAGGCATAAGCCACTGGTGCCCAGCTATATCTTTTATTTTTGGGGGGTCGGGGGAGGGACGGGACGTACTTGCTGGACCTGGGTACTCAGGACCTGGGTACTGTCTCTTAGCTTTATTCACTCAAGGCTGGTACTCTACCAATTGTCACAGCTTCACTTTTTGGCTTTTTGCTGGTTAACTGGAAATAAGAGACTCTTGGGCTTATCTGCCCAGGTTGGCTTTGAACCAAGAGCCTTAGATCTTTGCCTCTCGAGTAGCTAGGATTACAGGTGTGAGCTACTGGCTTTGGTTTGGTTTTTGTGTCAGTCTCAGATTTACTATATGGCTCAGGCTGGCCTTGGACTCATCATCCTTTTGTCTCAGCCTCTCAAGTGAGATTTGTGTGTGTGTGTGGTGCTAGGGATCAAATGTAGGGTCAGCACTCTGCCAACAAGCTATATCCGCAGCTCTTCAAGCAGAATTCGTGTTGCCCGAAAGGAGATTCATTTGTGATTAAATGACATGCTGCTCAGTCATCTGTGGACAGCCCTTTCCTTTCATCTGAGATGAAGGACTCAGCTCTTTTTTTTTTTAATCTTTTGGAAAAGAATATCAATTAGTCTTTCATTTCCTCTCAGACTTGTCTCCCCACAACTGGAAATGATGTTCTACACGTACTACTAAAAGGAGCTCTGGATCAACTTACTGGTATCAGTGTCAGTAGTTAGGGACCACTCCATACCGTAGTACTTTGTGATGGTCCCTCTCTTTGGGTGTCACCCTTCAACCACATAGGAAGAAAGATTACAGATGAGGTCTAGCTTGGGAACACAGAACAGTAAGTGTCACTCAGAAAGATGCAGTGGCATGTCTTAGATCTTATAGCCTTTTGGTCTGCCACCTCTGTTTCTCTTTTTGAGGAAGGTAGGGGAGGAATCTTTGCTGCACATGATATCCTGAAATTGTGGCTCAGTGCATAAGAATAATATCCTTTTTTTAAAAAAAAAAAAGATCTGTATTTGTTATATCTCCTAGTGCTTTTTTAAACAATGTGTGTTTTGGAATACTGGGGACTGAGGTTGGGTCTGGCCTTTGCAGTGCTGTACCACTCAAACTCAAGAATGCTGTCTTGAAAGTGTTTTAGAATTGCGTTGCAGAGCAAGTCCGCCTCCTAGCACACAATCCCGGTGATGGAGTGTAAGTAAGAGCATTCAGCCTGTGAAGGGCTCTTAGTAGCTTGGGGTAATTAAGACTCTGTTCTACCAAAACCTAGTCTGCAGTTACCAGAAAGAGAGCGAATGCCAGCACAGGATGGTTCCTTTGTCTGTCTTCCTGGAAGGAGATATTCTGTGGGTCCACATGTGACTACTTTAGCTTTTCCACTCAGAACCCTCCTTCATTCTTAGAACACGTGGCTTTCTTATCTTTCCAAGGGATGCTTATGCAAGACATGAGAGAATTGCTTGAAAGAACAGTCTGCATGATTCCTGCCTCCAATTACGGCAGCTGGAGGAGAGGAGCGAGAAAAGGCGAGAAAAACCCGTGGAGTATGAAGTGCACACAGCAAGTGGGTGGACACTGTTAGGAAATGAAGGGAATAAAAACCAAATGTAGGATGCCAAGGCCAGCCTGTGGAGAGTCACAGTCAGACTGAATGATTGTGCTCTTGGCCCCACTAACAATAGCTGCCTTTCATTTCCCTAAAGACTGGCTTTATCTCAGGCATGGTAGAGACACTGGGAAGGTTGCTCGTTCAGTTCTGGTAAACACTCTCCCCACTGGAGAGCCCAGGGCTCTATTTTCTAAGATCCGTGGTGGGCCTGTTGGTAGACTTGGCCTGGAGCATGCCCTTTATTTGGGGGTGTGAGTAAAAACACCCCCAAACCCTGAGAACTCAGGACCTTATAGATAGTAAAACAGATGTCTCTGCAGAGAACTAGGTTGAAACCACCATACCCATTCACCTCCCCTACAAATGAATGAAGGGGAGAGCTTCCCCTCCGTCCTGGAATGAAATGAGACTAGTCAGGAGAGGGCGAGAGGGCGTTTCATTTATTAATGTTCCTCAGGGGAAATCATAGGAAGTGACTGCCCTGTGAAGCTCAGAGGGAAGAGGGAGGAGAGAAGACAGAAGCAAGATCCAGGGGCAGTAAGTGATTTTAGGAGAAATGGATGAGCCAGGAGGACAGGCTTAAGGCTGGTGCTGTACCACTTGAGCCACAGCTCCTCAGATCTCAGCCTCTTGAGTAGTTAGGATTATAGGCAAGAGCTACCGAACCTATCCAGACAACTCTTCTTAAATTACTTTCTTTGGAAGAATGAATGAAGACAGTAATGAGACTACTAGTAGTGACACCGTGTGTTAAGGTAATGGTGACATTCCTCAGCTCCCCTCTGCAATAGAAACCTCAAGCAGAGACCCATACTTTCTCCCCATACTTTCCCTGGGAGAACAGGCTTTAGACTGATGAGGGAATCACACAGTAAAGTCTCCTCCAGCCTCTGTGGCTGTCTTTAAAATAATCAACACATCAGGGGGCCATACTTGGGGGTGAAATTACCTAGGCTCCTTCAACCCAAAGTTGGGGAAAGTGTAGTAGCTGGAAGACACACACGAGACACCTTCCCAAATAGGTCCCTATCATCTTCAACCTGTGCAGGAAAACCTGGCTCTAAGGCCTGGGGAGTCTTCTCTGAAGGTTTAATTCTGCTTCCCTCTGGTCTCCAGCAAGCATTCTGGGCCTTCCCTCCCTGTCCCGGGTAGCTCAGGGAATGCAAATGCGTGCTCATCGACATGAAATGCATACAGGAAGTACTGCCAATCACACAGCCCATACCCCCAGCCTGATGACAGTCTCAGGCGTTGGGTGGAAAGACAGATGTGTTCTCAGAGATGGGCCCCAGCACTCCAGCAGGCAAAGGGAGGGCAGGGCCACAAGGTGAAAGCCATTACTGAAGGCTGTCTAAGCCAATGCTGGTGGAGTCCAGGTGTGTTTAGAAGTACGATGCCTTCTGGCCCGTGCTGTTTTACTCTTCAGATGTGTATGAGCATCAGTTGCTCTGTGAAGCTCCTAGCTGCTACTGATTACCCTGATTAGAAGGGGTCACAGTGGAGATGTCACTTCTGTCCCCCTCCATCCCAGCCGCAGTAGGATTAAGGAAGGCTGTGGGAGAACACACACCAAGTGGGAAAACTGTCTCTGGAAAGGAGCTGGGATGCACGGGATCAGAGGTGACAGCACAGGCCAGCCCCAGGCTCCTCCAAAAAGGTGTGGTCCCCTTCTCTGGGTTGTTCACGCTTCCCCCTTGAAAACTTGTCCCATATCCTGATCCTGATCCACTTCTGAAATTGAGAATGACTCTCAAAACTTGTTTGACCAGAACATGGCTCTTGTTACTTA